TGAGCAGATTCGCCACAAATGAGTTGTTTTCCCTTCCTTCAGATAACTGACGCTGCACGAATGCGAAGGGCGTCTCGATTGCAAGGTTTAGCTCATATGCCCACTTCCGAGCCAGTTTCTTCCAGCCTGTTCCGGGAACCCAATCTGGAACATAGCGGACTTAAAGACGTCAGAATCTCCTTAAAATGCATTATATACAAAGACATTGAATATTGCTGAGATTGTGGATTGATAACTCACGGCTTGGGATAATGTCGACCAGAAAGGCGCCTGGAACACCCGAGCTGGATAAATCCTCGGTACATTGTTGGATCATGTCAATGAGCGGATCTCTCTTCTCTTGCTCGGCGCTGTAGCCATAGACAACCTTCAGGATAATAGAGCCGGCTTGTCTGTCGTTAGAAATATCAGTAAGCTGCGTCTAGTGGGTTTTGTCGGCGGATTGGTCAACACACCTCTTGATGTGGTCTCTCAGACTTTCGGGGTTGTCAAGAACGTGCTGAAGGAAATAGGCAACTTCAGCTTCCTGCAAGCTGTGATACTGTGAAGCAAGTGCCTTTGTACCCATGATACGTGCAAAGTTCTTGCGATGCGCACGCAATGTGTTGTTGTACTTCAATGCCGCCGTCGTTTTGCTCCAGCCAATGCTGATGACATGTCAGTCAACAACCCATGCTTGGAAACGAGTTTGAAGGAACGCACATGTCGCCGGCGAAATTGAATACCGCCCTTGACGAGTATGTTGCCCGCTTGTCCAACATGTCTATCGCCATCTGAGCATCATTGACGAAAATGAGGGTATTGCCCATGATAGTAATCGAACTGATAGGACCTGTCCATAGCCATCTCATCTTAGCAAGAGTCCGTTCAGCTACTGCGCGCAAACTTTGCATATGCGCAGCAATCGGAAGTACGCAAGCTTACCATACTCGGCAAGCTTCGCCCAATGTTCCGCCTCCAGAACGCCAGGTTCAGGCAAGTCACGTAAGTTCCCTACCAACGGAAGTCCCTTGGGCCCAGGGGGAAGGGGAGCAAGATTTGCATTTCGTCTCCATTGAACCAGCCTGTCTGCCACATAAATGACGCAGAGTATGGCTAGGAAGCCAACAAAAAGCATTGGGTCTTGCATATTTGTTCCTGTTGATTCGAGGTAGCTATTCAACACCCAAGATATACAGCCAAAAATGACAGCAGCACCCATTTATGTACATTTTCTTCTTGTTCACGCTAAGTGACCCCTCACCATCACTGGGCGAAGGTGACACCTATCCAATCACGAAAGAACCTTTTCCTGCATGACGATCTCGAATGAAGTGGGCATTCGCACAAGTACCACGACTTTCTTGCGATTTGGGGAAGGTACGCCCGCAAGTCCCCTGTTGCGACATGGCTGTTGGTCCAACGACCACGAGTTCATGCATGGCCGAGGACCACAAAATTGTGAGAAAGAGGAGAAGGGGCCGTTTTGCAGCGGACCGCACAAATCAGGGTGGCCGGATACCCGCTTACCCACGCATGCCTCGTAATTATGCTTCTTTGCCGCAACTGATCGGCATCCACGAGCCGTCCCGTTGCTGCGAGTGAGTTTTCACCGACGGAAGCATCGTCGAACCATCGATGGGATCAATTAAAGTCCTCAAATATTATTGAATCACATCTAAGAGCCAAGCATGCAGTTAAGTCAAGATAATTGTGGCAAGGTGTGCGGCTTGATCAGTGACACAAGTGGTAGTGTCTACCTTTGGGCAAAGTACGGGATGATGTCGTCGAAAACCCAACGCTTAGGAAGCCCGATACGCTCTGAGATGATAGTAAGTGAGTTTAAAGATAGGTTGGATTAAAGTTTCCAAGGTTTTGTAGAGGAGCATTATGTTTATGTATTAATTAGGTTACGTCTTGTTCTCGAAACTTCTAGGCGCGGCACATCCTGCCGTCAGAACCAACAGTCCATGCCTCACTGCCCACGCCCTTCAGGACGTAAAACAGCGACTCAGGATCATACTTCTTCTTGATGGAGAGAAGTTTGCTGTAGTTCTCGCCAAAGAAGGCGTCTTGCCAGTCCGGTTGTCTGAAGTCTGCCTCGTTCATGTACGACGCGCTTCCAGGAGTCACCGAGGTAATCAGCGGCATAAACTCCTCCGTCATGCGTCTTTGTGAAGCCTCCATGTCAACCCAAGGCGCAGCGTTGTCCCAGTTGGTGATGAGCTGCAGCTGCATGACGGCTTTGCGCCACGCGGGGTGCACAGCGTTGCTAGCGGCACCCGCTGGCTTGTCGTAGTGGCCGACGCTACCTGCGAGAAGAACGCCGTTGGCCGTGAGGTTGTTGACGACCTTTTGATACTCGACGTTGTTGGTCTCAAGCACGGTACGCGGGATGAGTCGGCCGCCAAACTGGTACCTCGTCACCTCGAGGTTGCCCTGAGGGAGAGGACCCATGTACCGGTCGTAGTGATCACGGTAGGACAGCTCGCTGTAGGCCACCGTCAAAGTGACACCGATTTCCTCCATGGCTTTGGTAAACGGCGCCAGAACGACATCGCGAACGTAGGCAGCAGTGGAGTTCCAAACGGTCAGTGGTCGCAGGACGAGGAACTGAGAGTTGTGAAGGAACACAACAAAAGCGCCGTTGTCCGTCATGTTGGGCAGCAGCTCGTGGAACTTGGAGACAGCGGCGTTGAACTTCTCCGGAGTGGTTGTAGCAGCAAGAAGCTGGAAAGCGGCGCCTCCAACAGTCTCTGCCTGGTAAGCGCGGACGGTGAGGCCAGTCACAATACCAAAGGTGCCGCCGCCGCCTCCACTGAGAGCCCAGTACAGATCGGCGTTTTGGGTCGCGGATGCAACGACAGTCTTGCCGTCTGCCGTGACAACCTGGAAAGCAAGAGTCTGGTCCGCACCCAAGCCAAATTGGGTGCTCAACGCAGAGTGTCCGCCGCCTTGAATGAAGCCACCAGCAAGACCGACTGTGGCGCACTCACCGGACACGACAGTGAGGCCCTTGGCGTGGGCAGCCTCGAGCATCTCGTATCCGAGAACACCGGCTCCGACGTTTACAGCGGGACCCGAGTAGTACTTGTCGGACCAGGTGGTGAAGTCAATGGTCTTGAGGTGGTTCGTCCAGATAGCCAGGGCTCCGGCACCAGTAGAGCGGCCGAGGAAGCTTTGGAGACAATCAGCGACTGTTGCAAGGTCACAGCATACGGATTGCAAGAATGTTGCTTACTCATGTCCAGTGTTACGAACAACGACGCGAAGGTTGTTCGCCTTGGCAAACTTGAGAGCATAGCTTACATCCGCCGTGCACTTGACATCAACGGCGTAGCTGACATAGTTGCCCAGAGTGCAAGGAATGGACCTGTCTGTGAAGGGATCACAGGACTGGTTGGCGAAGTAAGATTGCATCACGGATGACGAAGAAGGAATACTGTTGATGAATCAGCATATTGTCTGACAGTGATCGCGGTTTCTCGGACACTCACTGCGTCAAGGGGTTCGTCCACCCTGCCTGAAGAGCGGCACAGGCGTCAGCATCATAGGTAGGGTCGTGGCACGGCGATCCAATTGGCTCGGTAGCAACAAGACGTCCACCGACGGTGTCGTTCAACCTGTTCCAAGACGAAACCGAAGGCCAGCATGCATCCCCGGGCAGGCAGTGACATTGTTGCTTGGGGGCCACGGCTGCAGCAGTAAGGGTAGCCAAGGTGGTGGCTACGGCCAGGTAAGAGAGCCTCATGTTGATGACTTGAGTTGGGCAAGTAGTCAACGGAGGTAAGGAAAGGTGAGTGAGAGAGGGGTGGGTGGCTAAGAGGTGAGCTGCACGACAGATGTGATTATCTTCCCAAGCTCATATATCCCTCGCACTGCTGGTCCCTATTTCATCTCGATATCCACCCTCCCTGCAACGACGAGTGCGCAACCTCGGCCTGGGGCGGAGCGAGACCCCATCTGGTCTGCTACATTGTTGGCGGCGACGTTGGAGAGTCTCTCATGCGCCATATTCACCTGTTGGTTCTGAAATTCGAACATCGATAGCCTGCGGCCGGATGCCCGAAACTGGATCGGCCGAGTACGCGGTCGCGGGCATCCTTGCAAGCACACGCATACTTATCGACGACCCCATTACAGAACTTCCTATTGTAGATAGTGACACCCGATGGACCCATAGATTCCATGCATGAGCCCCTGATTCGGCCTTACCCGGGGAATACGGATGAGACACCGGGTGGCCCGGACGGCGGCGATGGGTGTCAAGAATGATTGCTCCCGCGGGGGCGGGAAGGGATAATCTTCTCCAGTCTTCAGCCCAGCGCGCACAGATCTAGAGTTAATTAAAAAGAGGCTAAAATGACAACGATGGGATGAACCAGATCGACCCTCGATTGCTGAATGAATCCTGCCGTCCGCGCCGCTCGTAGAATTGCTTCTGTGCCGCCCACGGGATTGAAGATTTTGAGCGCATTGCTGTTCTTCAGTGGCGTCGAACCCGAGATCTGGTAGGGTATTAATTTCCGGGCAGCAGGATTCTGAGCTGCTGTGCCGCTGGTGGCTTCGATTTGTTAATGCATTTTCTGCTGCAGGGGCTCTTGGCCAGAACGCGAGGACGGGACTCGCTTCCGTTTGAGGGAGCCAAGAAGCGGCATGGGGGCGGAGTCTCTCACAACCAACGGTTCATTCGGCCCTCATCTGGCTGGAACTTGTGCTAGGCTGAATGAAGTGATGCAGATGCCTCCGGGAATGGCCTTGCAAACTGGCAATGTGATGCCAATCCTTCGACCACATGTGCAGCGTATCATCAGCCGAAGCGAGGGAGACTAGTGTTCATCCCTAGAATTCCTGACCAAATCGCCAACAATTCTGGGACATGGCGGCCGCACATTTTTGAACCCTGCTTTGCCACATGGACTCCAGGGGACTTTCTTCGTGAAGGGAATTGCTTTCATTTATTCTTAAGCAAAGATCATCCGAGTCATTGCCAGCAGCAGTCCTGCTGCCGGCCAAGAAACATGGCATCCTTTCATCGACTCGTGTTGGTGTTGGTCCTGGCCGTCTTGTCCATCGCGACGGCACAGCAGACATCCGCAAATAAACCCAGCTATCCGGTTTGCGCCGTACGTCCTCCCTTGTCCGCTCGTCAAACGCTGACTCGGACTTCACCATCATCAGCCTCAAGATTGGCATTGGCTGACCTGCTGTGAATACAGACAAAATGCATAGCTCAGGCCTTCCAAGGCGGCCTATGTGCTCCTACAAACCAGACTTGCATATGTACAAACGCAGCGTTTCAGTATAACGTCACGCTGTGTGTTACGGGAACTTGCACGATTCCCGAGGCTCTCGGTATGTTTTCCCCAGCTTCTTGCCTTCTGACTGATATCTAACGCTGCCGATAATTCAGCTACCAAAAATGCGAGCCTCACGAATTGCGGCGCTCCGGTGCGCGACCGATCCCAGGAATACGTGATACTCTCGAATGTCATGGCCATTCTGGGTGCGGTCTTCGTCTTGGCTCGGTTCTCATACAAGATCTTCTTCGCAGGCCTCGACATTGGCTGGGACGACTGGTTCGTCTTGGCCACGTTGATTGCTGCCATGCCGAGCGCTATCATCACCGTCTACGGAACAACGAAGAATGGCCTCGGCCGAGATATCTACACGTTGACGCCGCAGATGATCACCAATGTCTTGTTCTACTTCTACATCATGGCTTGGTTGTACTTTTTGCAGGTGACGCTCGTCAAGTTGGCCATCATTTTCTTCTACATGCGAATCTTCCCTGCCAGAGAAGTGCAGCGGATGCTTTGGGGAACAACGATATTCATCATCGTGTGGGGCTTGGCGTTCGTTATCACCGCCGTCTTCCAGTGCAAGCCTATCCACTACTTCTGGACCAAGTGGGACGGGCTACACGAAGGCAGTTGTGCGAACGCCAATGCTATCAGCTGGTCCAATGCCGCTATCAGCATTGCCTTGGATTTGTGGATGCTGGCAATCCCGTTATGGCAACTGCGGGCTCTAAGGCTGCACTGGAAGAAGAAGATCGGCGTCGCGATGATGTTCATCGTGGGGACCTTGTAAGCACCCTTGCAAAGACCCTGATTGACTCGTGGCTTACCTTACAACAGTGTGACCGTCGTGAGCATCATCCGCTTACAATCTCTCGTCGATTTTGCCAAAGGCTCTAACCCAACGATGGACTTCATGGAGGTCAGCATCTGGAGCACCATCGAGATCATCGTCGGAATCATGTGCGCCTGTCTACCATCTATCCGCATGATTCTGGTCAAGTTGTTCCCGTCTATTTCCGGATCGACAATCAGGAGCAAGGGTCGTCAGTACTATCAACAGTACGGGAGCGATAATAGGTCCAAGGCCGCTCGCAGCCAGCCCCGAACAGTCGGCGTGGTTACTGTCGATAGAACGAGCCCGGATGTCGATTCTCAGGACCGCCATATCAAGTTTCAGAAGACATTCACAGTCTCATACAGCGATAGCGATGAAGCTAGCCTTGTGCAGATGACGGACCTGCAGAGGCCAAGACAAGCACATCATTAGCGGAGGTGGATTATTCGAGCTTCTTAGTTATTAAATAAAAATCATTTTTGATCACAATTTGGCAGTTGCAAACCCCACCGCTTTCTTTAGCAGCAAGTCCGAGCCGACCAATAATGATAGCAGGGGTTTCGATATTCTTCGTTGATCCTCGTGTTCAACCCGTGCCATACAGGGGGGCGTTCTTCAGGCCGGCGTGGTCAATGCAAGGCAATCAGGCTGCATGCTGACTGCATGGAAGTCGTATTATCAACCGTCTTCTAGCGCATCCATGAGTAGAGACAGATTCTTGTTGGCTAATTGATGGGCCGTCTGTACGCGGTCCCTTGGCCAGCATGCGGTGGCAATACAAAGTACAGGTGATCAACCTGTGAGCAGTGGAGTGTCAAACCGCGTGATAAATACCAAGCATTCTATTCTCCTTCGCTCTCGCATCATCATGGGCATTATCAGAGTGCATTCAATCTACCAACGAGATGTTGGAATCCATCTTTGGGCCCTCGGTCCCAGCAGCGGTCTCGACTGACTCTGTCACTCCGCTTCACTATTTTGACGACACACCAATATGGCGATCCTTCATTCTCTACTCCCTCTTGGTGTTTGACGAAGTCCTGGACGCTGACACCCTTCGATCAAGCCTCGAGCGTCTTACTTGTCGGGAAGGATGGCGAAAACTCTCAGCCCGTTTGCGAAAGAATTCAACGGGTGCTCTGGAATATCACTTCCCCCAAATCAATGATTTTGAACGTGGCACAAGATCTGCCCTGTCATTTTCAAGAATCGACAACACCCACATGTCGATTAGAGAGCACCCTGTGGCCTCGAAATTGCCACATCTACAACCGAAGGATGACAAGCGCCCAACCGTGATGGGAGACACGGATAGTTACCTCTCACTTATGCGACGCCCAGACAATCCGCCCTTGAGTCTCAACGAGTATCTGACTAGTGATGCGCCTCAGCTGGGACTGCACATTATTTCGTTCTCGGATGCAACGCTGGTAACGCTGTACTGGCCTCATACGCTGTTTGACGCGTTTGGAAAGAAGGCTCTTCTCGACGCCTGGGTGTTGATGCTACAAGGCAGAGATGACGAAATCCCATCCCCGTATGGAGGTGACGCGCCAGGGGTTAACTTTGATCCTCTTGCCAAGTTTGGCTGCCACTCGACAGAACCGTACAAACTCCGGTCGCAGTTAATGTCGAGCCTGAGTCTCGGTGCTTGGGCGATTGGTCATCTCTTCGAATTCGTGGGTAAACAAGAGACTCGCGTTGTTCGCGTGCCGAAACTGTTCCTGGATAAGCTTGTCAACGACTCGATGTCCGAGCTGCAAGATGGACCTAATCCATCTAATGCCACATCATTCCTGAGCGAGGGTGATGTGCTGTGCGCATGGTGGACCAAGATCGCGACTGCTCATCTACCCGAAAATGCATCCACTCGGAGGCGCACTCTCGTCCTGAACAACGCCTATTCTCTTCGCAAGGCCCTTAGTGGCGAGACCGGACCGCTCCCCCTGAAATCTACAGACTCCAACAAGATGGATGCACTTTACCTCTCAAACGCAGTTGGGTTCATCAATGTGGTTAGCACTATGGCTGATGTTTTCGACAAGCCAGTGGGCTACATGGCGTCTCGGATTCGAAATGCTATCAAAGAACTGGGAACAGCACGGCAAGTTGAAGCCGCTGCAGCCTTGGTGCGTTCGAACAAGATGAAGCTGCCACCTTTCTTTGGAGACAAATCTATGCACATGATCACATATTCCAACTGGACCAAGACCGACCTCTTCAATATTGACTTTTCCAGCGGTATTAAGGCGAAAGACTGCGGCAACGAACAACGTCGTGGAAGGCCGGTGTACATCCAAAACAACCAGGCGGGCTTCGGGCTACCCAACGCCTTTGTGATTATTGGTCGGGACTTAGGTGGCAATTATTGGCTATCCGGATACATGAGCCAAGGGCTGTGGGCCAAAATGGAAGCGGCGTTTGAGGCTTGGTGATGCGAGCCGAGGGCAGAATAGCGCGGCGCAGAACGTGGGCGGCTATCGGTCTATTGTGTTGGAGTTGGTTGTTCAGGGATGAATTATGTTCGATAATCTTAGGCTCTCACAACATATGCCTCTACTGAAACCTAGCTTAAGCTCACGTAATCGGAAGACACGGAGGCACCACCTCCGCTTAGTCATTATACATTTTTCACTGATGAAGCTTTCGCAGCGTCAGTTTGACTTGGTCCACAACCTGCCATCAACAAGCGGCCTCCGTGCCCTCCGATGAGCCAACTTTCTATCTATCATTCTGCTAGGACTCAGCATGTCGCCGAAACGAGCCTGCGACATCTGTTATCGACGAAAAGTAAGATATCCGACTTGTCGTATTTTCAAACAGTGCTGACTGGAAGTTGGATTGCAGATTCAGTGCTTGATACCTGAAGCAGGGGTTACCTGCGATTGGTGCCGACACCACGACTCTCAATGTACTTTCAACAGAGAAGCTCCGCGTAAATCCAAGCAGAACAGGTAAAATAAACCGGTTTACTGAGGAGATTCGCCTGTTTTCATAGCACTGATTCTTCAAACAGGCTTAAATTGACCGACGTCCATGATTTGTATCAGCGCATTCAACACCTGGAGTCGGCACTGGCACAGGCAAATGCGCAGCCGCTAGGGCGTGATGATGCGCTGAACTTCGTAACCCCCACAAGCTGCTCAGTAGAGACGCCGGCTTCTTCAGCGGCCTCAGCAGCAGCTGAACTCACGCCCGCATCTCATTCAGCCCGAGAAACAGAATTCCCAGGCTTGCGACAATCTTCAAGTTCTGTGACCTCTATCCCAGCTTCCGATTTTCCCTGCTTTGCCTCTCATATCGGGCCGAACTGGTTCTTCAGAGGCATACATGCTTTCTCTGAAGAGGGTCGCCAATGGATTTCTTCCAGAACGGGCCAGACCGTCGACTTGAGGAAGCTGCGACTGTTCACATCCAACTATGCGCCATCAACGAGTTTCTCTTCCGCGTTTCCCGGAGTATCAAGCTTGCCTGACAAACAAGTTCTGCGTGAGCTTGCGTCATCATTCTTAATGTCCCCTTTGTGGCTCTCATTCCCAGTAATTGATCGTTTCTCTTTCGACGAGACACTCGACATCGCATATGGCATGTCAGACGATAGGCCTAGTTCACCTACCCAGCTCGCGGCTTTGGCGTCTGTTTTGGGCATCTTGAGTCTAATGAGCCACTGCAAAGATTTGGGTAATGACTACCTCTCTGGTATTGACGCGAATGGTTGTGCCAACAAAGCTCGTCAGTTGTTGATAAGTCTCACCGGACATTACAGCGTAACAATACTTGAATGTTTACTGGCTTTAGTAAGTCTTCCTTGTTGCGCCTCTAGTTCTTAATTAATGACGAAGCTTACTGAAGACCATGTCAGTATACCCATTCGACGCTAGATGGCCACTGGCAAGAAGCTGGCTTCTATCTACCTCTCGCCTGCAGCACAGTGTCTGCCTTAGGGGGACACACCTATGCTTTGAACAATACACCAGACGATGGGACCACTCTATCTGCGAAGAAGAGACTTCACCTTCGGAATCTCTTCTGGATATGCTATATTGCAGACAAGGACTTGGCGCTGCGTACTGGAAGACCGCCCCTCTTGTCAGCTGTTTTCTGTGACTTGTCTATTCCAAAGGATTATGACCAACACTACGCCTACCTTCGATCCTTCGATGAGCCAGTAGACCGCCCGATTTCGGTTGGCAATGGGCCAGTTCCGCATTTCTCAGGCGATCTCGTCCTTAGTCAAACTAAAGAGAAGGTTTACAGGCTTTTGTACTCCCCGGCGGTCAGCGAAGCTAAGGACACGACTCTGCTTCTACATATCCGGGAATTAGATGAAGAGATTGAACGCTGGAGACTGTCGATACCGCTAGACTTTCGACCGGCATTATCAGCCTCTCCGCAAACCCTTCTCGCAACATCCCAAACAAACCCTCGGCAATACACCAAGTGTTTCGCCTTGCAATTGGAGTATCTCCATATGATGACTTTTGTACATACCACTGTAAGGAAGTACGACGCCGACGACAGCCAGATTGATGGTCCACTCGACCTACATAGCGTGATTCACTCGAGCTACGATCTGTCTCTTGAGGCTGGCCGATCTATGCTTCGGTGTCTGAGTCTATTTCTCTCAAATATGCCATCATGGAGTCTATGGTTCGTGAACCTGATCGTGTGACTTATAGCCTTGCTGACCAGAAATCCAGGTCGTGTATACACCACGCCACGAACGCTGCCATATCACTCTTCTTGGATATGGTCATACATCCGTACAGCCCAAACGGATCTCTTGATCTTGAGCTTCTCATCTCTGCCGCTAATACCATCAAGTCCCTCGCAAACAGGGTTCGGACTTCCGTTGAAGCTGACCGAGTTCAAGAAACGGGCGACTTTTTCATGTGGCTAATGTGGCTGGGGTCATGCGCAATAGCAAAAGCAAAGGAAGCACCTTTTAATCTAGCATCGTAGCTATGATTTATGGAAATATCAAGCCGCGCTTGTATCGCAATTTGACTGAAGACGATAAAGTCTACGCCCTGGACTCTAAGCTGTCTAGCCAATGTCTCGTGTACAAGTTTACCGATACATCCAAACTTGAAGTAAAATCACACAGTCCTCCAAAATGGTTCCAAGTGAACCAAAAAGCCACGGCAAACTCGTCAGGAGGTATTCCCTCTCTTGATTGTATGCGATCACACTGAGACCATACATCAAATTGCCCAGAATGGACAGAAAGAGGAAAAGAGGTGCCAGGCCTGGGAATATGTGAGCACATGTGTGGTGTCAGTAGCCCATAGCTTCGGGAGGTTTACCTGCACAGGACCTGCCCCTGTAGTTTTTGATGATTTGAGGCACCCGAGCACTTCATCAATTAGCGATGTCTTCAGGCATTGGCCTTGTTTAACATACCACAAATAGCAGAGGGCCCCGAAGTACCCCAGCACCGAACCAAACACTTCAATCGCCGACTTTGAGTCATCTGCCTTTGCGGTGAAAGCGTACAGACTATTCGTCAGAATGCCAGCTTTGTACAGCAAAGCCCAGCCTGCTACTCCGGCCAACTGCACCAAAACAATGCATACAACGCTGTAACGCCAATGGAAAATGCTCGCGTTCACGTCTCTTTCGCCGTCGTGACTTGCGGGGAATGCCTCAATGCCTGATGCCGAAGCGTGGTGGGGCGCCACGTCCCCTCTGTCGTCAATGTCGGTTGAAATAAGTGGCTGTCTTTCTTGACTCATCGTCGCAGTCTCTTGAACGCGTTTTCGACTCAAGTGGTTATAATACAAGCATTGGCAGATGAGTGTCGAATCAGAAACGCAAAGATAGGCGGATACGGCCAGACTTGCAGGTGCGATATGGTTGACGATACCTCCTGCATATTACCCAAGTATGTCAGATCTTGCTCGGGAGATGTCGGAAGGCTTGCCTACCGAGAAGATTCGACACGTCTCCCAGTAACCACACAAAGAGAAACGCCATGGATAAGCTGTCTGCACTCTGTCGCTGGTAGTTGGTGATGAGTTGGGGAAACTGGTGGAGCTCAGCACGCGGATCGGTGATGGTGGGAAGGAATCTGTCAGTCATTTACCAAGAGACATAGAAATGCAGCCATGCTAATACTGCCCAGTATCTCGGACGCATCTTTGCCGGTTATCTGACCTGGCGAGAGGCCCCAAAGTGGCGCGGAGGAGTCCATGATTGGAGATGGACGTGTAGATGAAAAGTTCAAGTTTCGGTACGGTGGCTGCATGACTCCGAGATAAGAGAGACAATCATCCGATCAAGAGGGGACCAATTGGGTTGACTTATCGATGACGCTCAACGATGAGCTGGCTGACTCATCAAAAGATGTCTCTACTGGCTCGCCAACTAAGAAAATCCCAGCTCATCTCTGTAACTATTTTAGGCTACGCCAGCGCCTCAGGTGAGCGAAACAAAGCTAGCTCTCTCAACCGCCCGTTGCAAACGCCCTTATATCCAAGCCACTTGCAACGAGTCGAACCCGACCGGAGTCGGTCACAAAACAAGCCAGCCTAGTGCCGTATGAAAGGACATGCGACCATGGTTTTTCCTATTTGCGGTACCATACGCGGGCCTTTCTACTGTGTCGCATCTTCCTCTGCAACTGCATCATTCCGTAAAGCAATGCCTCTGCCGTCGGAGGACATCCAGGCACATAGATATCAACAGGGACAATGCGATCAGCTCCTCGCACAACAGAGTAACTGTAATGATAATATCCTCCTCCATTGGCGCAGCTGCCCATACTGATGACCCATCTGGGCTCGGGCATTTGATCGTAGACCTGGCGAAATGCCGGCGCCATCTTGTTGGTCAACGTGCCGGCCACAATAAGGACATCCGCCTGCCGGGGTGAAGCTCGAAACATGTATCCGAATCGATCTTGATCGTATCGCGGGCCTGCAATATGCATCATTTCAACGGCGCAGCAGGCAAGGCCAAACGTCATAGGCCACATTGAGCCCTGGCGGCCCCAGTCGGCGATGATGTCGAGCGAAGTGCTGAAGCGAAGACCTTGGTCAGCTTGTAGTATCGGTAAAAGAAGGAAAGGGCAGTGACTGACACTAGATATTCGACAAGCGATTTGGGCTTCGCTTGTGAAGGGAGCGCGACTTCTCGCCGGCCTGCTCGCGTCGAGACGCTTGGCGGAGCGGAAGAATTGGTGACATGTCGGCCCAAGACTAATGGGAAATCGCCGGTTTTTATCAATTCCAATGGACGCATACGACGCAAAGAAAGAAATTTGGACATGTTTCACGGCTCTTGTTGGAAAGAGCGAAAACAAGTGAACAGAGAATTCAACATGGACGGAAGAGCTCACACGGGCGCTGGCTTACATTAAAGAGGTTGCCCATTTCAGAAGGGCCTGGGCCGGCAACACAGCGGTGCAAAAGAATCCCTGACGGCCCCAAACTCTTTATGATATTGATCAAACATATCTTGCCAGAATCATCGAAAACCTGATTGGCATGCCGGTCTCCGTCAATCTCCCGTCCCTCTGAGATGTCATCCGAGGATGGCCGTAAGACCCCGCGGGGTCCACTTCGGACTCGTCGCGAGAACGAAGTGGGGCTTTCCGAGGTTGGATGGCAGAGCTTGGGCTGCTGGGCGACTGAAGCACCCAGACCTGAAGTCTCGGCGGACTCATCCATCATTGACACATCAGCGCCGTAGACTTCGACTGATCAAATTCAGGACATTACTATCGGCCAGTATCATCTGCATGGTTATTGGTCGACTCTTGGTCCCAGCCCGGGGTTGAAACAAGTTGAACGGGCACTTCATCCGCAGCATCGTTGCCTCGGCTATGAACACATGGCTTTTAGTTGACTTCTGACATGGACGAACTACCTACACTGCGTCGCGGGCCCAAAAGGAGTCACCGGAAGGTCCGCACAGGATGTTCTACATGCAAAAGGAGGAAAGTCAAGGTAAGTAGCGGTGTCTTCTTAATCCCAACCTATCTGAGATTCAGCCCAACAGTGCGACGAAGAGCGACCGATATGCATTCAGTGTATCAAACAAAACGCAGACTGCGATATTACTTCCAAGTCGTCTAGTCACTTTCGCGAAACTGAGCCTCTAAACGGTCCCATACTCGCCCCCAGTCACGCACCAGACCTCAACATGCTGGACCTAGAGCTCATCTACCACTGGACCCTCTGGACCCACGACTCACTCACACTCAGCCCCCTACTTCGGACTTTCTGGCTCAGGAATACCACCAAGGCAGGCTTCCGCTGCGATTATGTCATGCGGAGCATTCTTGCTCTCTCGGCTGTTCACCTAGGTCATGTTAACCCCGTCAGAAGCGAAACGCTTGTTCGGTATGCCCTTACTCAGCACAACCTGGCTGCCGCAACTGTCAGGGAGTTGATACATCACCATGATGATTCAAAAGGAACGGAAACGGCGGAGAACCTATTCCTGTACTCCGTTCTTATCAACTTCTATGGTAAGCTGCGGTCATGGCTGGACTTGAGGACATTGCAGCTATCTCTAACATTCCTGTAGTCATCTCTCAGACCGATGACCCCCACGCCGCCTTCTTCGGTCGCACCGGAAAGACGGAAAACGACACTCCTGACTGGATGGCCTTCTTCAAAGGCTCTAGGAATCTCTCGCTGGTCTCGTCGTTACTCGTCAGCCACAGCCTCACCCATCCTCTCATTGAGCATATGGTGCAGATGTACTTCTACCGGGATCTCGTTGCTCACGGCCCTTACCTCAACTCGCTTCTTCAGCACATAAACACTGAGAAAGAAGGCTGTTCCAAGTCAGAGATTTCCACTTATTTGCATGCGGCTCAGGAACTAGAAGCCACTTTCGGGGTGCTATGCGAGTATCCCGAGACCCGAGAGATAATCCATGCCTTTCTCCTGATAAGTAATGTGTCAGACCACAGGGGAGACTTCGTTGCCTTGCTCCAACAGCCCGAACCATCACAAGAGGCCTTGGTGATCTTCACGTACTTCTGCATGATCCCACGACGACTTCCACCGCGCTGGTGGTCAGAGAGGTGGGTCAAGGGACTTGAAGATGGTGCTTTCAGCTTGCTTGACAATGAACATAAAAATTGGATCGTTGAGCCACCGCCTTGGGACAGCTGAATATGCGCCTACTGAAAGGTAGAATACAAATCATTGGAGGAAGCCATACCAACGGAATGAAATCAATTCATGGAAATTCTGTGAATTCTTTCTGTGTCTACGTCTACTAAGGTACCTAATCTCAAGTGCACTCATTTCGCCCGACTGTCAGCCACCAAAAGCTCCAACAGAGGCCCTTTCACAGCTTCCTCGCAGGGAACACTGAGTAGCTCACCGACCTTGACCGCGGCAGGCTTATCTGATGTTAGGATGGCGAAGATCGGGTCTTTCAAAGCAAACTCAATCTGGAAGTCCAACACCAGATCTCGGAATCGCTCCGTAAAGTCAACACGACTTATTCGAGGAGGTTGAGCGAATCGAATTATCATTTCGCTATTTCCAGAAGGAAACGCAGCGACCGGCACTTCCACCAGAAACCCAGCAGACAGGTGATCTTGAGCAGACAGGTTGACGCTTGCCTGGTCTGTCTCGGAGCCCCCGATCAACACCTTGACTCCAGACACGATTTTGCTCTCGAGAGCACCTATGAATCTGACTTTCCAGTCTCGACCGCCTGGCTTGTCGATGGTCAGTTGACCTGACTCTTGACTCCATTGAATGTTGATAGACCGCTCCAAACCCGTGCCGCTGTCTTCAGAGCAGTCATCCCTAGGGTCCTCGATAATCGTGAACATGCCATCTTGGCCGACAGCCACAAGGACTTCGAATGACTTAGGGTTCTTTCCGCCATTCATCGGGACTTTCGCAGCGTCTAAGGGAATGATGGAGCCTTCAGGTGCAAGCACAGGCATGTTCGTCAGAGTGCGCCACAGTTGGATCTCCCTGTCGCTATCATAGACGGTTCCGGTGAATATGTCGATGTATCGAGCTGCCGTTGGTGGGAGCCAGACCTTTACAGGCGCATGAAGCATTTTCGGGTTGGCTGGGTCGACGATGGGCGCCGCGACGAGTGATGGACCAAAAAAGTATTGATTGGGGTATGCATAGGCCTCTTTTCTCAGTGGAAATTTCCAGTAGAGAGGCTGAACGAGTGGCTCGTCATCTTCAGCGAACTTGGCGTTCAGTGTGTGGAGGTAGGGGATCAGCCTGTGACGGAGCTGCATAAAGCAAGTGATCACGCGCTCGGCGACTGGCCTATAGTTCCAGGGCTCCTTGGATCCCCATGGAGTATCGCAAGAGTGCAGGCGCATGATGGGTGAAAAGACGCCCAGCTGCACCCATCTGGCAACCAGCTCATCGTCTCGACAGCCATGCATGTGGCCACCAATATCGTGCGACCACCAACCGTAGCCGATGTTCGAAGCGGTAGCCGTGAACTCAGGCTGGAAGCGCAACGAGTCCCAAGTGACAACAGAATCTCCAGAGAATCCAATGGGGTACCTCTGGCTACCGGGGCCAGCATAGCGGGACAAAATCAGAGCTCGGTTATCTCCATCAGTTCGCTTCTGGTCAAGGAACTGGAAGTGGTTGAGAAGCCAGAGGGGGTCTAGACCAGGGATTTTGGAGTAGGGGCCTTGTTGCCAGTCAATCCACCAGAAATCGCAACCCTTTTTCTCCAAGCTGCGGTGAAGAATGTTGAAGAAGGCTTCCATGAATTTGGGGTCTGTGGGGTCGAAGAGAATTGGTGTCTTCTCAGATGTATCATGTCCGAGGAAGGCGGCCATCTCTTCGTACTGCTCCTCGTGATGTGCGATACCGACATGCGGGTGGTCGTTCAGCGTCATTTTGAGGTTCCGTTGATGCAGTGCATCGGCGAATGCCTTCGGGTCAAGGAAAAGCTCCTTGTTCCAGGTGTAGCCAGTCCAGCCCGAATGAGGCACCTCATTCTCATCAACCAAATGCCAGTCCATATCCATGACGGCAACGGACAACGGAATGCCCTTGTCGCGGAACTTGTCCATCAGTTCGATATATGAATCAGCCGTGTACTTGTGGAATCGGCTCCACCAGTTCCCAAGCGACCATCGAGGAAGTCGTGGAGTGCGTCCGGAGATGTCGAAGAAGGCCTTCATGGCGCCCTTGAAATCGCTTCCAAATGAAAATAGATATCCGTCCACGCGATCGCCCGGTCTCCTCGGGGCGACAAACCCTTCTCCGTCGAACACCATGCTGTTGCTATCGTCAATGACTGAGAAGCCCGCCCGAGAAAGAACTCCAGAGCCCATATCGCATCGGCCGTCAACACCGTCGAGAGTGCGTGCCGTCCCTCCAAGGTTGAAACCTGGCTCTGTTCCAAATCGCCATGTAGTCTCCCACATGGTTGTCTGATGTGTAACTTCAATGGTGAGGCCATTGGGGCTGAAGCGTTTCTTGTCGTACCAGACGTGGATAGTCGGCGTGACGATCTCGAGTCGGTGCTCTGTCTCTTTGATCAGAGGCTTGTGCTTTCGGGGGAAGCGTCGATTGATGGCAAACGTGGAAGCTCTATCTTCGAAAACGTTGTCTTCGGCCCATTCGTATCGAAGAACGAAGTCGTTGATGACTGTGAAGCGGTAATTTGGCCCGGTTGTGATCGCGTCGCTGTCCGCGACAGGGTCCGTCTCGAACTTAAACTGTGCCATTTCTACGGATGTTCAAGTCGTAGTCGAGCACCTCATGATCAGACGAATGTCGACAGAGGAATGTGCGGAAGTCATGATGGCTGTGATGAAAAAGACCTCGTTAAAAAACAGCGACTAGTTTGGGTCATTACTCTGTGCCATCCTCTAATGCCGTGGGAGACTCCGCCCTTCTCCGCAACGATCTGGAAATGTTCGCCGGGATTTCGCTTGAACTTTTCGCCAGAACTTTTCGCTTTCATCACCTTTATGATGCTCGCTGAGACCTTCTCCACAATGAGTTCAGGGGTAATAATGAGATTATTGACGGCAGACATGGCCTGTAGGAAAAACCTAGTAGGCTAGTAGCGACGGAGAATTGATGATAAATGTAAGGAGGACAGTGGGAGCAAAATGGGACTTGGTAGGGTACATCACAGACGCAAAGAAGGATGCATTGGGGATGGGAATCAAAAGCACGACCTCTGGTCCTGCACATTTTGTACTCTGATCGAAGAGCTCCCGATGCCTCGCTGTATGAATGATTGCTAACATGATTGTTTCTCCATGGTGGTTCACATTGCTAGACTCAGCCCGTTGCTGCCGGTAAATCGCTAAACATAATGCTGAGGGGATAATTGATTTTCCCCAAGAGTCCTTTCATTATCGTCATCGCCCGTAGCGACTTCTAGGTCTGCAAGCCCTATGGGCCGAACACTAGGCACTGGAAGCTGTACCTCGGCCATGAAAAGTTGGAGCTGCTTATGAAACAAAGATTCTTCGCCTCCTATGAGAATCAAGGCGCTCTGGAGTGCGTGTAGCGTGTCTCTCGCCCCAAGAAGCATGCCGGAGCCAGTGGGCCTGGGACCACCTGGAAGTCTCCTGTTGCAAGCCAGTAAGTCCACTAAGGAGTCAGCGATACGAAAGATCTTTAACTCCTATGTGTCACCGGAAATTGACGGTTAGCCGATACAAAAACAGAACATCGGGGTAAAACTAACCATTCCGTATCCATGAGTCTGGATCGTCTGTTTGGAGACAGACGAGAAAAGCTGTACGGTCTCGTGAGCAACTGAGGCGGGTCTAAGCATGCTCAGCATGGCGTCATCCATGTTACTTGACATCTGATAGTGTCGAAGAGCGTATTGCCACCATAGGATGTGAATCCAGTTCCAAGTGACCATGACGTTGACTCGCTGAATTTCAGGGAGTGTCGGTCCAATCGCTGAAACACTGCATTCAGCCATGGCCGACACCCCACGGTAGAGGTTGTCTTCGGTGCGTGGGTCCGATTTTGGGGTTAGCCTTTCTCTTGTCATCAGGAGGGTGTCATCGAGCAACGTAAAGAGCTGAGCAAGCATTTGAAATGATGGGTCCAGACCGCCTATTCCTGGTATGAGGCAGTCCAAAGACGGCCAATCTTGAATAGGTGAGAGGCAGGTCGGAAACCCATTCTGAACACAGAAAGTTCTGGAAGAGGAGTCAGCTATGTTGGCCTCGCCTAATTCTCTTTCAAGGGGGGGGTTGTAGCTGGATTTGGGGAGAATTCATACCGCTCAGTGACAAACACCAGCCAAAAGATCCGCAACATGAGCTCCCTCTGCTCATTTGGAAGTTGATTGAATGTTTCCGGACGGTGTAGGTTCTGCAAAGAAAGTTGGGCAATAGCTTCATGCAAATACATCGCCCCAGTTCGGATTCTTTCCGTGTTGGCAAAGTAGATGTGCAAGAAGAATGCGGTCAGCAGGGAGTCAATCGACTCGCTCTCCCGGTAACTGTGTTGATCACGCAAATGTTGCGCGTGACGGGCAAAGCTTTCAGCAATGTCGTTTAGGTCAGACTTGGACCCATTTTGCTTCGAAAATCGCAGTTGAGAAAGCCGAAGTTGCGCGATGACAGTGGCGCAGACCGCTCCAGCCAGTGCGTAGGCTTCGTAGTCATCGGGGGAGTTGCTGACGAGTCGGGATACTAAAGAGTCGATATCCACAATCGGCCAGACCCAGATCAGACAGTGCCGAAATTTGTTCAGGTACTTGACGTAAAGCCGAAGCGGCAATTTGGCATTGCCATGATCTTGAGTGCCCAGAGTTGATGGTTGTGGGCTATCCAGGAAACTGCTCTGTGGTCTTGAAAATTGTCTTTGGCCTTGTCGAACTTGCCTATCCTCGCCAGTTGAAAGAGGCGACTCCAAAGGTGTTTGTGGGGTTTTCGGGCTCTCGGTGCTTGATTGAAATTCTTGATCATTCCGAATCTGTTCCTGGTACTGCACTATTTTGTTGGAAGTACTCATCCGAGGTCCCTTCGGGCCTCTCTTGCGAGGAACTCGAAGGAACGTGCATTCCAAAGAGCGCTTCCGGCACTCGGTGCATGGGGGCCCTCCATTGCATCGTACTCTCCGCAAAGAGCACCCGTCGCAGGGGTTACTCACGCGTGTCTTTCGCTTTTCCATGGTTCGGTTGCTGG